AAGCAAGTTTCTGGGGTTTGTTTAACTTCTATAATTGCAACATTGTTTCTTAGAGTGCAAGCTCAGAGCCCAGCAGTGGCAGGTGGAGAACCTTGGCTTCCTCCTTCACTGGAGCAATCAAGCCTTCTGTTAGCTTCAGCTGCCTGGCTGCCGGCCGCCATCTTGGTTGGCAGTTAATTTGCATATCGCCCTGATTAACCAATGGGAAGCATGTCGGAGCTACAGTTAATTACCATGTTTGTCTATTATTAGATAGGATATTTGAGGTATAGTTGACCTACATTATATTCATTTCAGGTGCATAATATAATGATTCAATATTATATATATTGCAAAATGATCACCACAATAAGTCTAGTTAACCTCCATCACCATAAGTATTACACTATTTTGTTGTGTGATGAGAACTTTCAAGATTCATTCTCCTAGCTATTTTCAAATACACAGTACAAGCTTATTAACTATATTAATCATGCTATTCATTAAATCCTCATGGTGCATTTATTATATAACTAAAAAGTTGTACCTTTTGATCCCTTCATTTATTTCACCTATCCCCCAGCCCCCATTTTAGGCAACTACCAAACTGTTCTCTAAATCTATGAGCTCTTTTTTCTGTTTGTTTTTAGATTCCACGTATAAGTGAGATAATATATTTATCTTTTTCTGTCTGATATATTTCACTTGTTTAGCAAAATTCTCTCACTTCATATATATCACTATGTCTTTATCCATTCATCTATTGATGGACATTGAGGTTGCCTTCATGTCTTGACTATTGTAAATAATGCTTCAATAAATATGAGGGTACATGTAACTTTTCAAATTAGTGGGGTTTTTTTGTGAGCGTTTTCCAGATAAATGTCCAGAACAGGAATTGCTGGATCATGTGGCAGTTCATTTTCAACTTCTTTAGGAACCTCCATACTCTTTTTTATAGTGACAATACCAATTTGCAATGAACATAGGTTAAGTTTTCTCCACAGTTTCACCAAACCTTGAAATTTCTTATCTGTTTTATTTATTTATTTATTTATTTATTTATTTATTTAATGTATATTCTTTATTGATTAAGGTATTACATATGTGTCCGTATCTCCCATGCCCCCACTCATGTCCTCACCCTCCTGGTGTCTTTGTCCATTGGTTAGGCTTATATGCATGCATACAAGTTCTTTGGTTGAACTCTCTTCCTTATCTCCACCCTCCCCTACCTTCCCTCTGAGGGTGTATGAGCTGATCCATGCTTCTCTGTCTCTGGATCTGTTTTTGTTCATCAGTTTATGTTGTTCATTATATTCCACAAATTAGTGAGAACATGTGATATTTATCTTTCCCTGACTGGCTTATTTCGCTTAGCATAATGCTCTCCAGTTTCATCCATGCTATTGCAAATGGTAGGAATTCCTTCTTTTTTACAGTAGCATAGTATTCCATTGTGTAGATGTACCACAGTTTTCTTATGCACTCGTCTACTGATGGGCACTTAAGCTGTTTCCAGATCTTAGCTATGGTGAATTGTGCTGCTATGAACATAGGGGTGCATATATCCTTTCTGATTGGAGTTTCTGGTTTCTGGGGATATATTCCTAGAAGTGGGATCACGGGGTCAAATGGGAGTTCCATTTTTAACTTTTTGAGGAAGCTCCATACTGTCTTCCATCGTGGCTGCCCCAGTCTGCATTTCCACCAGCAGTGCACAAGTGTTCCTTTTTCTCCACATCCTCTCCAGCACTTGTCGTTTGTTGATTTGTTGATGACAGCCAGTCTGACAGGTGTGAGATGGTACCTCATTGTTGTTTTGATTTGCATCTCTCGGATGATTAGTGACTTTGAGCATGTTTTCATATGTCTCTTGGCTTTCTGAATGTC